AAGCTCTGACTTCCCTTTAGAGGCTTGTAACACTGTGGAAGTCTCTCTCATTGTGTAATTTGTTCCTTCTGTGCTCCGGTAGATATGAAGGGTTAATTGTAATCACCATTTATATATCACAAAATACAAGATTGAGCCTCTGATCTGCCAATCAAAGCTTTTCAATATTCATATATTCCCAAAAAGAAATGCTTTTTTTCTAAAGCTTTAACCCAATCCACTGGTTCAAAGGTGGCCTTAAAGATGGCAGTGTGACCTCTGACCTATTTCGCTGGTCATGTGCTCCAGGATGTCGAAGGACCAGCCTTGGTGCCGAGCGTAACCCTGGTACATGTCGAAGACCTGCAGAGAGGCACAGAGGTGAGCTCACACACTCCATCCTTCCTCTTTGTCCCTCTCTGTTACACATGGGCACTTCCAGACCTCGTCGGTGAACAGCATGGCCTCCTGACCTCCGATCCCGGCTGTCACCTCTAGGACCAGGTCGCTGAGATCGGCCTCCTCCTCCGGGAGCAGCTGGTCCAGGATCTGTGTTTATTAGAGGGGAGACAACATGAGGAGCAAGAAGTTCCTTCTGCTAATGATGCCGGTGCTGTGGACGTGGAGGAGGACGCTTCTACCTTCTGTCGGAGGTCCTGAATCTCTCGCTGACACCCTTCGTGCTCCAGCTGGGCCAGCTCCTGCAGGGCCGGGTCCTCGTCTCCACCGGGGAGAAAACAAAGATTATCTCTCTGTTCTTGGATGTCTCCATCCCATTAAACGCACCCCCACAGTAAAAAGTGATTTATTATGATTTAAAGCTGAGACGTGAACGTATGAAAAGGCTCAAATATTTAAAAAGAGGAAGTGAACGTTGACAGAAAAACACTCGACTAGATCTCCACTCTTTGCTGTCCTGCTCCTAAATGGTGGAAGGAGGTCTCTGAAGACATCAGGACCACAGAGAGCCTTCACATCTTCAGACTAAAGACACACCTCTTCACACTCTACCTCCACTAACACACTAACTAACTGCAGCACTTACATTGGACTTATAATGGTTCTGATCTACAGCAAGTTGTACATCGGCTTATTTGAGGAAATCACACTTTGTTTCTTGTTCTTCTGAGTTTGTCTCCTTATGGTTGAAATGTTCTTATTGTAAGTCGCTTTGGATAAAAGCGTCAGATAAATGACATGTGATGGATAAGTATGTCTTAATATGGGAGTTAAAACCGATGGAAGAATATTCTGTGTGATGAACTGCACAAAGAGGAGAGGACGTCACTGACAGGTGAGACCTGGATTACGGGTAAAGTTCACTCTTTGATCATTTCTGATAATTAGGAAAACAATTAACCACATCTGGTCTTGTTAGGCTCTTCGAACTGCCCCTTGTTGCAGATTAAATGTGTAGTGGCTTTAAATCCAGCCTACACCTGGTGGTCCAGGTCTCACCGGTCAGCAGGGTCTCTGTCTCGGCCAGCTGTCTCCGCTTGGTGTCCAGCTCCCCGATGCTCTGGACCAGAGGAGCCAGCAGGGACACCCTGGTCCTCTCGGTCCTCGGCTCGTCCCCGCGGCTGCTGGCGGCCTTCAGACACTCGGCGTACTCCGCCTGCAGCTCCTTCAGGTGCTCCTGCAGGGACCTTTTGGCGAACAGCTCGTCCAGCGACAGCAGCTTGGCCGCCCTGGACGGCGTGGCGGTGTGAAGGCTTCTCGGGGCCCGGCCCGGGGCACCGTTGGGGCCAAGAAACGAGGCGGTTTGCCCGATGGCGTTTGGGGGGTTCCGGAGACGAGGAACCCAAAGCCTGGAGACACACTGGCTCGCTGTGGGAAGAAGGTGTGCGGCTCTCCTGTGGGCCATCGTGGAGGCCGACTCGAGGGATTCAGCGTGCGGCCGAGAAGATCCGGAGAGGACTTCTACTCCGCGAGGAACATCCGTCCGAATCCCATCAATAAAGGAAACCACATCCAGCAAAAGAATATTCCGCTATAAATAGTAACTGAGAAATGCATCAAACAGTCGTTCTTGAATTCGGCGCGTGTGTATGACGTCATGCGCCACTTTATTGTGACGTTTTAACTTCACGTTTCAGCAACCACAGCCGGAAATGTTCATCGTGAATATGAGGATATTATTATACGTTGATATTAAGAGCTGGATTCCAACCCAGAGAGACAAATAGGAGCCTTTGAGGGAGTAAACAAGCGCTGCGTGTTTTTAGCGCACTAAAAATATCTTCATAATAAACAGCCGAACTGCTCCGTTACGTTTATGCTGCTACCGGGAATCATCGGTGCGGTAATAACGAGTCAAACCGGTCAATGAAGGCATTGCTAAAGCTTCTTATAACGATGCTGTTCCTTTCCCACCTTGCTGAAGGGCGCAGACATGTTGGGTGTCTGCGCATGCGCAGTCAGTGAGGCGTCAGATCTGCTGCGGGCGGAAGTTTGGCGCATAGGACGTGTGACGTCAGGATGTGTATTTCGAGTCTGCTGTAGTTATGATGCGTTTACTTCATCTGATATGGTCCCATGTAACCGAAATAGAGATCAGTTTTAACTTTGTTATTATTATTTATATTCTTACACTATGTTGTCTTATCTGTCTTGTTGTCCCTTGTCTTACTGCCTGATGTTATGCACCAACCGCCAAGTCAAATGCCTTATATGTCTAACATATTTTGGGAATAAACTACATCAGGAATATTTATGTGCTATTTAATGTCCACATTTGTGATATAAAGCACAATCATCACAAACTGTTTATTACCTAGTATGTTTTCTATTGTAAATAAACACAGTAAAATACAATAAGACATAATTAACTATGAAAAAGTGCAAGCGACAATGACGAATAGAAGCAAACGGTATAAGTAAAAATAACACTTTTATTATCATTTTTTCTTGCACTTAATAAGTCTTTGTTGTAGTTGAAATGACTTGTTGTGTGTTGCCTTGTAAATAGGAGTTAATGCTAACACTACATTATATTAGCATTGTGCAACTCGCTATATAAAGATGTGAGGCGTCATTGTTTCTGATGCCCCCCCCCGACCCCCCATTCACTACTTGCTCTGCCTCTGGCCTCAAATAGTATCTCCCACCCCCCGGTGTGGTTTCAATATGAGAGCCACTTCTCACATTCCAGGTGCGGGTGTGAACTGGACTGTCCTCTTTCAGCGTTTACCCAAACATCTCTACCGAAGAAGGCCTGAAACTCCTTATGGAGCCCCAGAAAGATTCAACCTCTTTCACTGTCACCACGTTATAATTCGAAGTATGTTGTATTAAAGAACATAAAACCAATGAATGTGTTGGTGAAACTGTAACTTATTTTGAATTGTAATAAAGTGCATTACCCGTGAAAACAACCATGTGGATTTAACATGAACTCGCTCAGCAAAATGAAGCTATGGAAATAGGATTTAGATTCATGAATGTTTTACATGAGCTATTCCTGTCAATATACTAATACTAATACTAATATACTATATAATATAATACATTTATCCGTAGTCTAATGTTCAATTCGGGCAGTTCTGCTCGCTCTGGGTGCTTCCGCCCCTTTACGTGGCCTTTCACCCGTGTTTCCGGTCTGGTGGGAGATTCCAGTGGTACCGCATCGATTACGCGCTGACGTCATCGCGCCGAGGGCGTCGACGTCTCGGCCCCCATTGGCTGGCGGTTTAAAGAGACAGACGCCCGCTGCTATGTGATTGGTTTGCGCCTTTTGCGCACGGATTTCAAATGGACGCCACAACTGGCTCGTTCCAGCCGCAGAGCTTTTACGTCGCGCAGCGCGGGTAGTCGGCTGAGAGTTCGCTCGCGCCAAACGGGAGGGAAACAAGAGTCCGCCTTCGGATTACGAGAGGAACGAAACGTAAGGTACGAGTCTCACGGCGTCTCACGAGCCGCTGATGTTAACGTACAGCAACGTTAGCTAGCTAGCAAGGTTAGCTAGCGAGGTTAGTTGGTCGGTCAACAAACTACTGAACTAAAATGTCAACTGTTCTCAACACCACCGGAACCGCGCTCCATTCACACTATTATTAGTACCCGGGGGCTTCTGTGCGGGACGTTAGCTACGCGGGAGATGCTAAAGCTAGCGCGCTAGTTACGAGCTACCCGCCCCCCCGCAAGCGCGAATAAAGCAGCCCAGTAACGTCGCCTGCAGCGGGTCGGTACCTTGAATAGAACCCGCCCGGACGCTGTTTATCAGCCGCAGTGAACGCAATGCGTTTAAAGACGAGCTGAGGCTCCCGCATCGACGCGTCCCGTTTCCGCCAAATCCGGACGCGTCGCGCCAAAAAAGTGTTATTTGAAAACGATGTGGACGAAGAGCCCCTGCGTGCGAGAGCCGCCCCTGATCACCCCAACGGCAACGCGTCTTCCTCTCATGTCGCGTTCACGAGCCGTTTGCCTCCTGTTAGCGGTGTGGCACGAGCATAAGCGCGCTGCTAGACGGTCATTGTTTGAGACGTAACCCGTCGTTTTCTCCTCGTTTACCCAGAATCCCTCAGCGCTGCACGGTGTGCATGTTGACCTCCAGGACCGGCGTGATGAAATGTCCACGCTACGAGGCCGCCATGGCCCGCGGTGTGGAGAGAAGCCCTGCTGCAGAGTCCAGGGTGTCACACCCTAAAGCGTCCCCGCTGAAGGAGCCCCCCCCCATCAAACCCGCGTGCCCCCCCGTCGTGTTCTCCGGCGCGGTCCACAACAAGGAGAACAGCACCGGCAGGGAGCACGACAGGACTCTGGACGACGGGTTTGAGGACAGCGGCTACCTGTCTCTACACAACAGTCACATCGAGGACGACCCCCTCCACGGGAAACCGGCTGCACACCAAGAGAGGACGTCCCCCTCCAAATGTCCAGGGAGGACAGACTCCACCCGGGTCCAGGTGTCCCTGGAAGCGGACCGCCACAGGAGGAGGACTTCGTCCAACAACCGGCACCCGGACCCCAACCTGCCCATCGTGGTGTTTCAGCGGGCGGTGTGTGAGGAGTTAGCCAAGAGCTTCCAGAAGAACAAGAGGTGGGGGGCTCGTGGCAAAAGGCAAAAGACTGCAGAGAAGAAGAGTCATTTCCTCATAGACGTCTATGGGAGCAGAGGAGTCGCCCCCTGCTGGTCACTGCAGAGAAGTAGAGTCATTTCCTCATAGACGTCTATGGGAGCAGAGGAGTCCCGCCTCCAAATTACCTAAAAAAAGAATGACCCTCCCTCCCACTCTCAGCTTTGAGCAAACTAGCATATGCTAGCATGCTAAGATGCTACACTTTGCATCGTGCTAGCAGGCTCTTACTTCTGTGAGCTAACGCTAAGTCTGTCGTCCACTCAGAGAGAGACTCCTGGGATTCTAATTATACGACCGTCTGATGGAGCCCTGCAGAACATTGCTTATGACATTTATGAGTCAAATATCCGCTGCCATTCTGACACTCGTAAACAAAGTGAGTCACAGGGAGGCAACGAGAAATCAGGTTTTAACTTCAGTCATGTGGGGAGGGACCCCCGGTCACCAAACACAGCTTCTCCTTCTTTGTTTACTTTGTGATTTGTGTCGGGATATTAAAGGTGAAACACATATTACATTGTTCATTCTGTCCTCATGACATCTGTCCATCAGGAGACGGATCCTCCTCCGATGTTCTCACTGAGGTTTCTTCCCTGTTTCCCTCATGGAAGGGTTTTTCATTTCTTAGGAGTTGTTCCTGTGTAGATGTGAGGGTTTCGGCACAGAGGATGTCGTATGTGTACCGACTGTAAAGACACATGAGGCTAATCTGTAATTTGCGATTTTGGGCTCTACAAAATAAAATTAATTGAATTGAATTGAAATGTCTCACTATCCTTTTCTGAATTTCTTTCTCCTTGTGTGGAGATGTCTTAAGGTCAGGTGCACACTTCATTTAAATACTGCATTAGTCCCAAACAGTTGGCCATTTCCTATTTTAATAAACATAAGCACCCATTGTACCAGAAGGTCCACTCCGAAGCATCTACTGGAGGAGATATGAAGCTTTACTGGAGGAGATGTAAAGCTTCTACTGGTGGAGATGTAAAGCTTCTACTGGTGGAGATATGAAGCTTCCACTGGAGGAAGTTATGAAGCATACCGGAGGAGATGTGAAGCTTCTACTGGAGGAGATGAGAAGCTTTACTGGATGAGATATGAGGCATACTGGTGGAGACATGAAGCCTCTACTGGAGGAGATATGACGCTTCTACTGGAGGAGATGTGAAGCTTCTACTGGAGGAGATATGAAGCTTTACTGGAGGAGATATGAAGCTTCTACTGGAGGAGATATGAAGCTTCTACTGGAGGAGATGTGAAGCTTCTACTGGAGGAGATGTGAAGCTTCTACTGGAGGAGATATGAAGCTTTACTGGATGAGATATGAAGCATACTGGTGGAGACATGAAGCTTCTACTGGAGGAGATGTGAAGCTTCTACTGGAGGAGATATGAAGCTTCTACTGGAGGAGATGTGAAGCTTCTACTGGAGGAGATATGAAGCTTCTACTGGATGTGAAGCTTCTACTGGAGGAGATATGAAGCTTCTACTGGATGTGAAGCTTCTACTGGAGATGTGAAGCTTTACTGGAGGAGATGTGAAGCTTCTACTCATTCATCATGTTTTGTTTCTATCAGATGAAACTGAGAAAAGGTCCTTTCTGTGACTCTTGGTGAACATGTGTGTGTGTGATGTTGAAGCGCTGGTTCCCTGAGAGGAGAAAAGAGACTCTGTGTTTTCATGTCAGTGTCGCTGAACTTCACGTCGATCAGCTGACACCCATGGGGGAGAAGTGAAGGTCGCTTTGTATATGTCAACATCTCGCATCCGTCTTTATGATCACATGAATGTCTTTTTAGAATTATTGGCTGACCTCAAAAAGGAACGTTTCATTCCAAACAATACAAAAGAAGATGAATTCACCTACAGTAACTAGAATAATGCCCACTGATGTGTTCATATAATATTATTATATCATATATTATTGAGGGCGGCACGGTGGCGTGGTGGTTAGCACTGTTGCCTCACAGCAAGAAGGTCCTGGGTTCGATTCCGCCCAGAGGCCTTTCTGTGTGGAGTCTGCACACTGAAAAAAGCGTAACAAAGCTGTTGTTCATTTAATGTGTTTTTTTTCATTCCAATGAATAAAAAAAAATACTTTGCTCTACTAAACTAAACTTTTTTATTTATGGGTTAGGGTTTAATCGAATTTTTTACTTTACTACAATGTAAACTGATAGCAAGGCACCAAACTGATTTTTTTTATTTTAATCAAAGCATTTTTATTAGATTGAGTGATTCGCGCATGCGCATTCTTTAAAAGTTCTGGCGGAAACTTATTTCCACCTCAATCTTCCATTGCAGAGGACGTTGTGAAAAATATCAGACCCCACGGCATTTTGGTAACGTTAAGGTAAGTCATTACGATTTTTAAAGATGACCGGGCGAAAATGTTAGCCCGCAGACAAAGTGTCTGTCTTAAGTGTCTTAAGTGTTTGCTTTTGTGGGCAATTAATCGTTCGGCTAGGGTTGGCGCTGGGGGGAGGGGGTTCGCCGTTCGGGAGGGAGGCGAGTGAGGTGGGAGCAGATGGCGGCAGAATACCAGTGTTCCAGTCGACGTTTACATTCTGAAAAGCGTATATACGGCGTTAGCGCGTAGCTAACTACCTAGCTAAAACTATATACGGCGTTAGCACGTGGCTAACTAGCTAGCTAACACTATACACGGCGTTAGCACGTAGCTAACTATCTAGCTAACACTATACATGGCGTTAGCACGTGGCTAACTAGCTAGCTAACACTATACACGGCGTTAGCATCGTAGCTAACTATCTAGCTAACACTATACATGGCGTTAGCACGTGGCTAACTAGCTAGCTAACACTATACACGGCGTTAGCACGTAGCTAACGGGCTGGCGTTAGCACGTAGCTAACGGGCTAACGTTAGTTAAAACTCCCGGTGTAAAAATAAAAAAAATGTTCTTGTGACTTTTGGATAGTGGAATAAATATTACTGGTACTGTGGTGTTTACTGTGCTATTGTGCTGTGTGTTATTGCTTAACAACAAAATACCAAGCAGGAGTTGACTATGGACTTTATAATGGGTTATTTATTTACAGAGAGTTTGTACATCGGCCTATATGGACGAAAATCACACTTTTTTGTTTCTTGTCTTTCTGAGTTCGTATCCCTTATGGTTGAAATGTTCTTATTGTAAGTAGGCTTTGGATAAAAAGCGTCAGATAAATGACATGTGAAGGGATAAGTATGTCTTAATATGGGAGTTAAAACCGATGGAAAGAATATTCTGTGTGATGAACTGCACAAAGAGGAGAGGACGTCACTGACAGGTGAGACCTGGATTACGGGTAAAGTTCACTCTTTGATCATTTCTGATAATTAGGAAAACAATTAACCACATCTGGTCTTGTTAGGCTCTTCGAACTGCCCCTTGTTGCAGATTAAATGTGTAGTGGCTTTAAATCCAGCCTACACCTGGTGGTCCAGGTCTCACCGGTCAGCAGGGTCTCTGTCTCGGCCAGCTGTCTCCGCTTGGTGTCCAGCTCCCCGATGCTCTGGACCAGAGGAGCCAGCAGGGACACCCTGGTCCTCTCGGTCCTCGGCTCGTCCCCGCGGCTGCTGGCGGCCTTCAGACACTCGGCGTACTCCGCCTGCAGCTCCTTCAGGTGCTCCTGCAGGGACCTTTTGGCGAACAGCTCGTCCAGCGACAGCAGCTTGGCCGCCCTGGACGGCGTGGCGGTGTGAAGGCTTCTCGGGGCCCGGCCCGGGGCACCGTTGGGGCCAAGAAACGAGGCGGTTTGCCCGATGGCGTTTGGGGGGTTCCGGAGACGAGGAACCCAAAGCCTGGAGACACACTGGCTCGCTGTGGGAAGAAGGTGTGCGGCTCTCCTGTGGGCCATCGTGGAGGCCGACTCGAGGGATTCAGCGTGCGGCCGAGAAGATCCGGAGAGGACTTCTACTCCGCGAGGAACATCCGTCCGAATCCCATCAATAAAGGAAACCACATCCAGCAAAAGAATATTCCGCTATAAATAGTAACTGAGAAATGCATCAAACAGTCGTTCTTGAATTCGGCGCGTGTGTATGACGTCATGCGCCACTTTATTGTGACGTTTTAACTTCACGTTTCAGCAACCACAGCCGGAAATGTTCATCGTGAATATGAGGATATTATTATACGTTGATATTAAGAGCTGGATTCCAACCCAGAGAGACAAATAGGAGCCTTTGAGGGAGTAAACAAGCGCTGCGTGTTTTTAGCGCACTAAAAATATCTTCATAAAAAACAGCCGAACTGCTCCGTTACGTTTATGCTGCTACCGGGAATCATCGGTGCGGTAATAACGAGTCAAACCGGTCAATGAAGGCATTGCTAAAGCTTCTTATAACGATGCTGTTCCTTTCCCACCTTGCTGAAGGGCGCAGACATGTTGGGTGTCTGCGCATGCGCAGTCAGTGAGGCGTCAGATCTGCTGCGGGCGGAAGTTTGGCGCATAGGACGTGTGACGTCAGGATGTGTATTTCGAGTCTGCTGTAGTTATGATGCGTTTACTTCATCTGATATGGTCCCATGTAACCGAAATAGAGATCAGTTTTAACTTTGTTATTATTATTTATATTCTTACACTATGTTGTCTTATCTGTCTTGTTGTCCCTTGTCTTACTGCCTGATGTTATGCACCAACCGCCAAGTCAAATGCCTTATATGTCTAACATATTTTGGGAATAAACTACATCAGGAATATTTATGTGCTATTTAATGTCCACATTTGTGATATAAAGCACAATCATCACAAACTGTTTATTACCTAGTATGTTTTCTATTGTAAATAAACACAGTAAAATACAATAAGACATAATTAACTATGAAAAAGTGCAAGCGACAATGACGAATAGAAGCAAACGGTATAAGTAAAAATAACACTTTTATTATCATTTTTTCTTGCACTTAATAAGTCTTTGTTGTAGTTGAAATGACTTGTTGTGTGTTGCCTTGTAAATAGGAGTTAATGCTAACACTACATTATATTAGCATTGTGCAACTCGCTATATAAAGATGTGAGGCGTCATTGTTTCTGATGCCCCCCCCCGACCCCCCATTCACTACTTGCTCTGCCTCTGGCCTCAAATAGTATCTCCCACCCCCCGGTGTGGTTTCAATATGAGAGCCACTTCTCACATTCCAGGTGCGGGTGTGAACTGGACTGTCCTCTTTCAGCGTTTACCCAAACATCTCTACCGAAGAAGGCCTGAAACTCCTTATGGAGCCCCAGAAAGATTCAACCTCTTTCACTGTCACCACGTTATAATTCGAAGTATGTTGTATTAAAGAACATAAAACCAATGAATGTGTTGGTGAAACTGTAACTTATTTTGAATTGTAATAAAGTGCATTACCCGTGAAAACAACCATGTGGATTTAACATGAACTCGCTCAGCAAAATGAAGCTATGGAAATAGGATTTATATTCACGAATGTTTTACATGAGCTATTCCTGTCAATATACTAATACTAATATACTATATAATATAATACATTTATCCGTAGTCTAATGTTCAATTCGGGCAGTTCTGCTCGCTCTGGGTGCTTCCGCCCCTTTACGTGGCCTTTCACCCGTGTTTCCGGTCTGGTGGGAGATTCCAGTGGTACCGCATCGATTACGCGCTGACGTCATCGCGCCGAGGGCGTCGACGTCTCGGCCCCCATTGGCTGGCGGTTTAAAGAGACAGACGCCCGCTGCTATGTGATTGGTTTGCGCCTTTTGCGCACGGATTTCAAATGGACGCCACAACTGGCTCGTTCCAGCCGCAGAGCTTTTACGTCGCGCAGCGCGGGTAGTCGGCTGAGAGTTCGCTCGCGCCAAACGGGAGGGAAACAAGAGTCCGCCTTCGGATTACGAGAGGAACGAAACGTAAGGTACGAGTCTCACGGCGTCTCACGAGCCGCTGATGTTAACGTACAGCAACGTTAGCTAGCTAGCAAGGTTAGCTAGCGAGGTTAGTTGGTCGGTCAACAAACTACTGAACTAAAATGTCAACTGTTCTCAACACCACCGGAACCGCGCTCCATTCACACTATTATTAGTACCCGGGGGCTTCTGTGCGGGACGTTAGCTACGCGGGAGATGCTAAAGCTAGCGCGCTAGTTACGAGCTACCCGCCCCCCCGCAAGCGCGAATAAAGCAGCCCAGTAACGTCGCCTGCAGCGGGTCGGTACCTTGAATAGAACCCGCCCGGACGCTGTTTATCAGCCGCAGTGAACGCAATGCGTTTAAAGACGAGCTGAGGCTCCCGCATCGACGCGTCCCGTTTCCGCCAAATCCGGACGCGTCGCGCCAAAAAAGTGTTATTTGAAAACGATGTGGACGAAGAGCCCCTGCGTGCGAGAGCCGCCCCTGATCACCCCAACGGCAACGCGTCTTCCTCATGTCGCGTTCACGAGCCGTTTGCCTCCTGTTAGCGGTGTGGCACGAGCGAAAGCGCGCTGCTAGACGGGCATTGTTTGAGACGTAACCCGTCGTTTTCTCCTCGTTTACCCAGAATCCCTCAGCGCTGCACGGTGTGCATGTTGACCTCCAGGACCGGCGTGATGAAATGTCCACGCTACGAGGCCGCCATGGCCCGCGGTGTGGAGAGAAGCCCTGCTGCAGAGTCCAGGGTGTCACACCCTAAAGCGTCCCCGCTGAAGGAGCCCCCCCCCATCAAACCCGCGTGCCCCCCCGTCGTGTTCTCCGGCGCGGTCCACAATAAGGAGAACAGCACCGGCAGGGAGCACGACAGGACTCTGGACGACGGGTTTGAGGACAGCGGCTACCTGTCTCTACACAACAGTCACATCGAGGACGACCCCCTCCACGGGAAACCGGCTGCACACCAAGAGAGGACGTCCCCCTCCAAATGTCCAGGGAGGACAGACTCCACCCGGGTCCAGGTGTCCCTGGAAGCGGACCGCCACAGGAGGAGGACTTCGTCCAACAACCGGCACCCGGACCCCAACCTGCCCATCGTGGCGTTTCAGCGGGCGGTGTGTGAGGAGTTAGCCAAGAGCTTCCAGAAGAACAAGAGGTGGGGGGCTCGTGGCAAAAGCCTTAAGTTTTTCTATTTTGAAATGATTTTTAAAAATACTACAATTGGTGGAAAAGGCCTGAGGGACCTTCTGCTGCGAGATGGAGCCGCTTCCTGTCCCTCAAAACCTTTTTCATATAGTGGAACAAAACCCCAGAGAGCTGTAGGTCAGCTCACTACTTTTACAGCTTTTTACTTTCTTTTCAATAATCCACCATGTTTCTGACATGTCTGGTATTCATCAACATTCACAGTTCCTTTCGGTTAGAAACTACAAGAACACCTGTGCAGACACACCTGAGAGCTCCATGGAGATGAGGTCCTCGCTCCGGTTGTACTTATCGAGTGTTCTGGTCTTCAGGTACGACTGGAGCATCGTTTCCAAGGTAGCAGAGCACCACCTCCTGGACCGGGTGATCGGGGGCAAGATGGGCCGCGAGCACGTGGACGTGTTCTCCTGTCTGCTGTCCAGGAGCATGAGGAACATCCTCGTCCACATCCTGTCCCTGCTGGGAGACCACGACCTCATCAGGTAAACTATGACCTCATCATTGGCAGCCGACACAACATCGATATACTGATATTGAAACGGGTCAACCTACAGATGAACGTAGTGAATGAGCAGACCGGGTTTGTCCGTCCTGCTGCATTGTGTTGACCCGTCTTCTCCCCCCCAGCTGTAAGAAGGTGAGTCGTTCCTGGAGGAGGATCGTCTGTGATGATTCAGCAGCTCGGAGACGATGTCAGAGAGCCGAGCAGGAACGCGGGGTGAGAAACCGCCCGCACACGTGTTCTTAGTCTAATATCTGTCACGGCTGGACGCACATCTGGTTCTATATCCACAGATTAATATGTTGATTGATGGCTGTCAAAGGCCCCGATGCATCTGAGAACACAATTCTCCATGTCCTCATAGTGACTGTTTACCCCCCAGGAGTCGAGCAGCTCTCCAAGGCGGAGCGGCTGCGGTCTCACCAGAGACGTCTCCGTGTCCCGGGTGGTGCTCTCCTGCATGCAGACGCTGGCCACCTCAACTACTCCGTCCTCCTCCACCCCGAGCTGCAGGGTCATCGGGAGGACGGGGGGCACGCCGACCCCCCCCTGTGACCGCTTCAGTGAATACCAGCAGGTGAGTTTGCCACACACACACACACACGTAGACCCCGTAGCACGTTGGATGTGACAGCTCGTCATAATAAGCCGTCATGTGACCTCAGCAGGCGTCTCTGTACGTTTTACTGTAAAAACGTCCGTCGGATTGAGGTTGAGGGACTTCCTGTTCTCCCTGAAGCCCTCGGGATCCTAACCGTCTTCTGTCCCGCAGGCGGCCGGCGCTCTGAAGCAGCACGAGTCTCTGCGTCCGTGCCGGCGTTGCGGCTCGCCGGCCGTTCACTCCTCGGAGGTGCAGCGCGCCACGTGCACGCGGCCCGGCTGCCGCTTCGACTTCTGCACCCGCTGCCGGGAGGCCTTCCACGGCTCCACGCCCTGCAGGGTGGTGCGCCCGCGGCCCCACCTCGCCAACGGCAAGACCCCGGCCCTGGCGGCCGGCGCCACACGCAGCCGGAGGACCGTCCGGAGGTTGTGACGGGACGTCCCGGAGCTCCTGTCCCGCGCTCGCCGTGGAGACGAGAGGCGCTCAAGAGAAGAACACTGCTTTAAAATATGGACAATTTTACTATGTTTTAAAATGAAATGGATGTAAATATATTGGACTTTTAAGAAGTTTTATGTTTCTTTTTTAAATAAATGGTCTTTAAATGTTAACCTGTAAATAAATGTTTCATAAAGCTTCTTGTGTTTGGGGGAATTCTTCAATGAGACCAAAGAAACAAACGCGGTTTAATTTCCCTCTAAACGTGAAACCTCTTTGACGCAGAAAGTGGATTCTTACCGACGACGTCGGCGTTTCTGTCGGCTTTAATTCTAACATATTGTTTCGTCTTTGTATTTATGAGACCATATCAGTTTAAATGATGTTTAATGTCATTTTAACTTAGAAACTGCTTCCAGGTTTTAAACTCTAAGACAAACTATTATTTATTGCATCTAGACGTTTATAAAGCTTCATAGTTCATGTTGTCGTCTTTCAGTCTCTGGACTCTCTGCCCTGTAGTGTCTTCATGTGAGAACTATGAGTTCATTTCATGACTTTGAATCCTCCAGATGTTTTTGGTGAACTGAGGACTTGAAGTCCGTCAGCAGAGGGCAGCATAGTACTCCATTATTATAAAGGTCCGAACCAAGACATCCTTTCAGTCACTAAAATATCAAACTGATTTCAACATTCTGTTCTGTTTGTTTTTTTTCAAACCTGTTGAATGTATTTATATTTATTACATTATGCTGCTGTGAGTCCATCCTCTGCTCCTCCATCAGCGTCTGGTACGCTGCAGCCACAGCCAAGGACAAGGGCAGGCTGCAGCGTGTCCTCCGCTCTGCAGAGAGGGTGATCGGCTGCAATCTGCCGTCCCTGCAGGACTTGTTCGCTTCCAGGTCTCTGAAGCAGCTACAAAGATGGTAGCCGACCCCTCTCACCCCGGACAAAACCTGTTTGTGCCCCTTCCATCTGGCAGGAGGCTGAGGTCCATCAGGACTAAGACCTCATCAACAGAGCCGGACCCCCACTGACTGACTGACATCCCACCGGTCCCCCTGCTTCACACTGCACATGTACACACGCGTGTCACTTTCTGTTCGCTGGTGCACTATTTTTTAATTTTTTAATATATTTTAACTAACTTTTATTCCTTTATTTTAAAACTAACCCATAACATATTTTATTTTATTCCTCGTGCACTATGTTGTCTTGTCGTCCGTTGTCGTGCTGTCTGCTGTCACGCACCAACCAAGTCACATTCCTTGTATGTCTGACGTATTCTGGTAATAAATGTTTCCTGATTCCTGATCCTATTTTCATTCGAATGAAAGGAATTAAATGATATTTTGTAGTAACTTCCTTAAAAAATCTAAATAACTAACAAAAATTCTACATCACTGAGCATATACATCTATACGTTTGATTATAACTATAACCAGTGAGTTGATCCAGTTCATTATTTAAAGGTCATAAAGTTTATAGAGTTCGATCTGATCGACCAATCAGAATGGATGATTTAGATTTGAGTTTAATGCATCTTATATTATTCAAAATAAAACCTCTGTGTACAGAACAGGACATAAATACACGCGTACTCAGCAGCACTACACTGTGTACACCTGTTCAGCTACTTGTTCACACTAATTGCTGATCAGCCAATCACACGGCAGCAACTCGCTGCCTTTGGGCCTGAAGACGTGGTGAAGACAACCTGCTGGAGGTCAGAGCGAGCATCAGAGCGCGGAGGAGGGGGTTAAGTGGCTTTAACCTGGATGGTTGTTGGTGCAGACGGGCTGGTCACCAACTGCTGATCTGCTGGGATCTAAACACACAACCATCTGCAGGGTTCAGAGGATGGTCCCAAAAACAGAAGGTATCCAGTGAGCAGCAGCTTTGTGGACGAAAAAGCCTCGTTGATGTGAGCGGTCAGAGGAGAACGGACAGACTGGCTCCACATGACAGAAAGGAAACAGGAACACGAATAACCACCAAGGAACACGTGGAACACTGAAGAAGATGAGCTACAGCAGAAGACCACAGCGGGTCCCCGCTCAGCTGACCACAGTCTCACCACAAGGGGACAATAGAAGGACCAACGTCGCCTGGTCTCATGTGTCTGCAGCTGAACATTCAGATGGTCGGTCAGAATGTGGAGGAAGACACATGAAATATCTATATCTATATATATCTATATCTATATAGATATATATAGATAGTAGAGGCCCTGACACATCTCCTCTGTATGTGTTAAGCCACTATGGGGCCAACGGGGGGAACATGTTCGGACGCGCGTTCTGCCATAAATAAGATTCACTGAGTGTCTTTAAGGCATTTCTATCCGTGCGCAGTACAATTACCTATTTCCTTGCATTACGTCACATTTGTTGGTCGGAAGCGGCGCCTCGTAGCACGACTCGCTGACTGGAACTGCGTGTTTTTATTTCACCCAATTATATGTACATCATTCTTCAAAATTATGAGCAGTGATGAAATGATCAGTTGATAAAAAGAGTCATTAATGTTATTTCAATATTAACGAGGACTTTTTTAATCACATTCCGTTTTTACTTATATAAAGTTTTTCACTTTACTTCCCTCGCCTATTTTTTAATTCGCATAAATAGCTCATTTTAGCCGGAGGACAAAGGATGAGGTCGACGTGTGCGTCTGTGTGTGTGTGTGCGTCTGTGTGTGTGTATTTTTGTGTGTGTGTGCGTTGGTGTGTGTGTATTTTTGTGTGTGTGTGCGTGTGTGTGTGTGTGTGCATAGCGTGTGTGTGTGTGTGTGTGTGTGCATGGCGTGTGTGTGCTCGTGTGTGTGTGTGTGTGTGTGTGCATCGCGTGTGTGTGCGTGTGTGTGTGTCTGTGTGCATTGCGTGTGTGTGCGTGTGTGTGTGTGTGTGTGTGTGTGTGTGCGCGTGTGTGTGTGTGTGTGTGTGTGTGCGTGTGTGTGCGTGTGTGTGTGTGTGTGTGTGTGTGCGCGTGTGTGTGTGTGTGTGTGTGTGTGTGTGCGTGTGTGTGTGTGTGTGCCCTTCAGGTTGGTGATCCTGATGTGTAGTGACTTCCACATGTTGTCAATCGGCAGCGTGTCACCAAAGTTGAGCTGTAGAAGCTCTGAAACGAAGACGAGGCCGGAGGGGAAACAGGAAGTGGAGGCTGGCTGGTGACTTCCTGTTTATAATCTAAAAAACAACGTGTCACTCAGACGGATGTTAAATTCTTAAATATCTGTGTAGTTTCTTTGAGCTTGTTGTGCACAAACCAACCTGCCAACAGTTAGTAAAGCTTGTCCAGATATGTGTGTGTGTGTATATATATACATATATATATATATATATATATATAGTGTGTATATCGTGTATATATGAGGAAGCCTATCCAAAGAGGGAGGCAGAGTTCACATCACTGGATATGTTGAGCTTCCCGTAAAAAGGAATATTGGTGGAATATTTAATGAACCTGAACGCATCACGTAACATCTGCAGGTATCTGAGCAGATGTACTCGAGTCTTTCAACACAGCTCAGCACACACGTGCACACACGTGCACACACGTGCACACGCTCTCGTGCACGGTGCCTGGTGTTGAAAGGCTGCAGCCCTTTGTCTGTCTATTTTTACCCTGTTTGGTCCATTAAGATCCGCAGTGATGAGAGTTAATGAGTGAGGCCTCTCCACGAAGCACGCAGTAATCACGCATGTGCAGGAGAGTGGACACACGCACACACACACACACACACACACACACACACACACACACACACCATGTAACTAATCTTACTGATACTTATATTCATGCTGCTAGATGTGTTGGAAGAATATTTCTTATTTTTATAATTTTACGATAAAAACTTTTTTACAGACATGATAATTATGTTAATTCGGAAAAATAGTTAATATAACTGATGATAAATATACATACTAATATATACTATATATGTATATGCTGCAATTTATCTCAAAAGTATGAGTGAAAGTCTTCTAGTGAACAAAACGTAGCCATAGCTGGACTGAGGACGTAGAGACACCATATACATGGCTATTAGAGACCTGTCAATCAGTGTGTAGCCCCGCCCTAAAGCATCCCCTGCTTTATATATCGGTTTGACTCTAAATGGTCCTTAAGTTACTAAATAAACATCATGTTGTATTGAAGAAGGCTTGAAACTAGAGACTGAGACCATAAACTCATGTTTTCAATGTTTACTGAGGGAATAGACGTCTATGGGAGCAGAGGAGTCGCCCCCTGCTGGTCACTACAGAGAAGTAGAGTCATTTCCTCATAGACGTCTATGGGAGCAGAGGAGTCGCCCCCTGCTGGTCACTACAGAGAAGTAGAGTCATTTCCTCATAGACGTCTATGGGAGCAGAGGAGTCGCCCCCTGCTGGTCACTACAGAGAAGTAGAGTCATTTCCTCATAGACGTCTATGGGAGCAGAGGAGTCGCCCCCTGCTGGTCACTACAGAGAAGTAGAGTCATTTCCTCATAGACGTCTATGGGAGCAGAGGAGTCCCGCCTCCAAATTACCTAAAAAAAGAATGACCCTCCCTCCCACTCTCAGCTTTGAGCAAACTAGCATATGCTAGCATGCTAAGATGCTACACTTTGCATCGTGCTAGCAGGCTCTTACTTCTGTGAGCTAACGCTAAGTCTGTCGTCCAGTCAGAGAGAGACTCCTGGGATTCTAATTATACGACCGTCTGATGGAGCCCTGCAGAACATTGCTTATGACATTTATGAGTCAAATATCCGCTGCCATTCTGACACTCGTAAACAAAGTGAGTCACAGGGAGGCAACGAGAAATCAGGTTTTAACTTCAGTCATGTGGGGAGGGACCCCCGGTCACCAAACACAGCTTCTCTTTCTTTGTTTACTTTGTGATTTGTGTCGGGATATTAAAGGTGAAACACATATTACATTGTTCATTCTGTCCTCATGACATCTGTCCATCAGGAGACGGATCCTCCTCTGATGTTCTCACTGAGGTTTCTTCCCAGTTTCCCTCATGGAAGGGTTTTTCATTTCTTAGGAGTTGTTCCTGTGTAGATGTGAGGGTTTCGGCACAGAGGATGTCGTATGTGTACCGACTGTAAAGACACATGAGGCTAATCTGTAATTTGCGATTTTGGGCTCTACAAAATAAAATGAATTGAATTGAAATGTCTCACTATCCTTTTCTGAATTTCTTTCTCCTTGTGTGGAGATGTCTTAAGGTCAGGTGCACACTTCATTTCCTATTTTAATAAACACGAGCACCCATCGTACCAGAAGGTCCACTCCGAAGCATCTACTGGAGGAGATATGAAGCTTCTACTGGAGGAGATATGAAGCTTTACTGGAGAGGATGTGAAGCTTCTACTGGAGGAGATATAAAGGATCTACTGAAGGAGATAATGTATGCATCTTGTACTGGAGGAGATGTAAAGCTTCTACTGGTGGAGATATGAAGCTTCTACTGGAGGAAGTTATGAAGCATTCTGGAGGAGATGTGAAGCTTCTACTGGAGGAGATGAGAAGCTTTACTGGATGAGATATGAAGCATACTGGTGGAGACATGAAGCTTCTACTGGAGGAGATGTGAAGCTTCTACTGGAGGAGATATGAAGCTTCTACTGGAGAAGATGAGAAGCTTTACTGGATGAGATATAAAGCATACTGGTGGAGACATGAAGCTTCTACTGGAGGAGATAAGAAGCTTCTACTGGTGGAGACATGAAGCTTCTACTGGAGGAGATATGAAGCTTCTACTGGAGGAGATATGGAGCTTCTACTGGAGGAGATATGGAGCTTCTACTGGAGGAGATGTGAAGCTTCTACTGGAGGAGATATGAAGCTTCTACTGGAGGAGATATGGAGCTTCTACTGGAGGAGATGTGAAGCTTCTACTGGGAGGAGATGTGAAGCTTCTACTCATTCATCATGTTTTGTTTCTATCAGATGAAACTGAGAAAAGGTCCTTTCTGTGACTCTTGGTGAACATGTGTGTGTGTGATGTTGAAGCGCTGGTTCCCTGAGAGGAGAAAAGAGACTCTGTGTTTTCATGTCAGTGTCGCTGAACTTCACGTCGATCAGCTGACACCCATGGGGGAGAAGTGAAGGTCGCTTTGTATATGTCAACATCTCGCATCCGTCTTTATGATCACATGAATGTCTTTTTAGAATTATTGGCTGACCTCAAAAAGGAACGTTTCATTCCAAACAATACAAAAGAAGATGAATTCACCTACAGTAACTAGAATAATGCCCACTGATGTGTTCATATAATATTATTATATCATATATTATTGATTGACGTTCTCCTTCCAACATGACATTGAATGTCCCATTTTACTGCTATTCACCCCAAAAAATATACGTTTAAAGAAAAGAAACTCCACAACCGTCAAGTCCACTCGTCAAACAATCAGGCAGACAAAAGGACTCAGCTTTGAAAAATAAAACCATATCTTTTATTCGGTGAGTGGTGTACATCACTGTGGTCTATGCTCATGATGTTGTACTGTGTTGTGAGGTCTTTGCTCTACATATGGAATAGTGTAAAGTGATTAAATGCCTTTTAATGGTGAAACGACCGCGTTTGGATTCTCTGAAAACAAGTCAGCACTTCGATCCTGATTTGTGAACCTTTGGAAATAAAACCTGTTAATTCTGCACAACATGTGTTGTCTAATAGAAGAACACTTCTATGCACTGTAAGCAGTCCAATCGTCATTTACACATCGTATCTGTGAATTTGTGATTCCACGGAAAGTCAACGGTGTTAGAATTCTCTTTTGGAAGTCTATGGAACTACTGGTTAGTGAAAGCCAATCAGACTTCAGAAAGATGCTTTGAATTTAAATATAATGATCCACTGAAAGTTTGAAACGAGACTGAAAAATCTGTTTTTACTCGAGTTCAACGAGTCACATGTTCGACTGAAAGTCAATGGGATAAATTACACTTGAAATGAGTCGAACAGTTGTTACATTAACTTTCATTGGGATAAATATGCCCTTAAAAAGTTCTGTAAAGCAGCGGTTTCTCTAAAAGTTAATTGTGTTCATTTCCAATTAAAGATTCATTATTTTCTTCAAAGTCAATTCAAAGGTTAATGGAAACCTTGGTTTGTGAAAATCACACAGAGGTTCCATTCACAGATGAAATTCAATGAAAATGTTGCTCTATTGAAGCAAATGCTGTTCATTCAGGTTCAATATGTTATTTTTTTTATTATAATGTGTTGGACAAATTTCCCACCAATTTGTTGGGCAGCAGTTCTATTAAAACCTTGTTCCTCTTAAAGCTTGTTTTAGAAACAAAAGTGACAAAAATGTTCGTTTCTATTTCGATCATTTTCTTACTAAAAGTAAATAGAGTCACGTTTCAAATGAGGTTAATAGAACAGTTTGACTTCCCTGTTTTGCTGAAAGTCAATGGTGCTGGCAGTCCACTGAGGATTAGCAAACGTTCCCTATTGAAAGTTAAGGTAACTGTTCTAATTGAGAATTCATTCGAACAGTTAACTGATGAAACACTGAGTCATAGTAGATCCGCTCAAAATCAACGGGAAAGGTACACTAATGAGAGTAAATGCTGTTCTATTGACATTCGGTGGGTTGACTCTTTAACTGGGAGTCAACGGGATACATTTCACCATCAAACTCAGAGCGACAGAGAGACGGCTTCAATGAAAGTCAACGGAACAACAGTGACCTGAAAGGAAAGTAAATGGTAATTTGCTTTTGCTGCGATGGAGCACGTGGTCATGCGTGTGTAGAGTCTATGCAGTGTAGCGTGTACATACATGTATTTACATAGAGTGTAAACATGTGTGGATGAATAATTACAGAACCACATGGGAGAACACATCATCATCAGCGGCTTCACTTCCCAAACGGCGTCTCGGAGCGATGCTGACGAGGCGTTTTGGAGCGGGGGGGCGGCTGGAGGTGTTTGCTGGAACAAGCCGCTCCTCAAAGTGGCTGCAGACAAGGAGGAGGGACGGTTATCGACGAAGGACCAACATCCCGTCGTTGCTTTGTGGGAGTGTGATTACACTTCTCTGTATGTGAGCGTCTCTTCTCGGGGTTATTGGTCCGTGGCGGCCGTTTACATCCCATGGCGTTAAAAAGCAACGTAATCTGATTGATGAGCAATAAAAGCATCCACCTGACACATAAAAAGCATCAACAAATCTATAGAACGCGAAGGATTTGTAATCTGAACCAGGAAGGAAAACTTTATTACTCCTTTCGATTGTGACAAATGCAGTGCAGACCAGAAGCCCTTTCACAATAAAAGCCCTTTATACACTACTGTGAACTCAACAACAGAAAGCATAAAGCTACCAGCTAGCCACCTGAGAGGACACGCCCCCATTTATCCCTGACTTAAAGGCCTCAATGTGATTTCGGTGAGTTTAATTCCTCCCACCTCCTCTTCACGTCAGAAGTTATCGGGACTTGACATTTCTTTTGTTCCAGGCTTTAGACGTGTTCATTTCTGCTGTAAAGTTGGACATTTTAGCATGGAGGTCAATGGGGATTTAGTGTGTCTGTGTGTGTTCTCACCAGGTGCAGGTTGTTGAGCAGGTGATCCACGGCGATGTCATCGTAGTTCTCCTGGGGGGCGGGGCCTTCGTCTCTGGACTCCTCCAGGTCGCTGGTTCCCGGATCCTCGAGGCTGTGCACAAAGTCCACGTGAAATAGTTTTATACTCCAAAATTTTTCCTTCATATATGAACAGGAAATTCTACTGGACAATATGTTTCATTTTATTTCTTGACCTTTCTGTAAAAGTTCTAACTTCTCATCATTTAAAGTTTTGACTTTTGTGCGATTGGTTTTTAGATGAACTTGTGTTTCGGTCTCTGACCCGGAGATCGGAGCTGCGTTTGATGCATGAAGGATCCACGTTAGCTGTTCTGTGATGGAGAATCAAACACAAACGCTTCCTGAGGCCGAAGACGCAAATGAGGGAGAACCAGTAGTTATTGTTATTTTTCATCTTTAAACCACTTAATCAACTTATATCCGCTCCACTCATTGACTATCCATCAACATCGTCCTCTCAACAGATATCCATGTTTTTCTTGAAGAGGCTCATTCTGTGTTGTGAAGTCAGCATGTAGCGGCTGTACATCCTGGTTTTAAAAGAAATGATGAATTGTTTGCAATTCCATTCAAATCAATTAAGAGAAAAAGAGAAGGTGTCTTTTGTTTTACGATGTCACTCTGTATCTGATTCAGGCTGCTGTCACGTACTGTTTGCAGTACTTGCCAAAGCAAAGTAATGCCCTCTAGTACAAATACAACCCACACAAAGTACAAACGAGAGAAACAGTCTGTTCAGGTGGGATGGAAACACACGATCACGTGGACTTAAGTAACACTGCTCCATGGTTACCCAAACCACCACGTCATCTTCATCAAATAAAACAGCCCACCCAGAAAGCATATTATTATTATTTAAGTATAAGCATTAAAGCTGCATTCTGTGTAGTGACCAGCAGGGGGCGACTCCTCTGCTCCCATAGACGTCTATGAGGAAATGACTCTACTTCTCTGTAGTGACCAGCAGGGGGCGACTCCTCTGCTCCCATAGACGTCTATGAGGAAATGACTCTACTTCTCTGTAGTGACCAGCAGGGGGCGACTCCTCTGCTCCCATAGACGTCTATGAGGAAATGACTCTACTTCTCTGTAGTGACCAGCAGGGGGCGACTCCTCTGCTCCCATAGACGTCTATGAGGAAATGACTCTACTTCTCTGTAGTGACCAGCAGGGGGCGACTCCTCTGCTCCCATAGACGTCTATGAGGAAATGACTCTACTTTTATTCTTGATTTATTCCCTCAGTAAACGTTGTAAACATGAGTTTATGTCTCAGTCTCTAGTTTCACGTCTTCTTCAACACAACATGATGTTCATTTAGTGAATTATGGTCCTTTTAGAGTCAAACAGACCATAAAGAGGGGAACGCTTTAGGGCGGGGCTACACGCTGATTGACAGGTCTCTACCAGCTTTATACGTCCTACAGCCTGAGATTTGAAGCGCATCTTCATGGCATTTGAACAAGAACAGAGTGAACCGATTGGGTGTGACATCAGAAGGTGCATTCAGCCCCACGGGGTCCATGAACTCCCCTCCGGTGTCTCCTCTGAGTGAGATGTTCATGCTGCAGGGAGGTCTGCTTCCTACCTCCTCTTCCCCGTCAACACCGAGTTCAGGTACTTCTTCACGGCCATCTGTTTGCGGAAGCGGCTGTAGTTGTCTGTGAAGATGGCGTCAGAGTGGCGCTTCACCGGCTCCTCCATCAACTCGTCACTGCAGAGAGAGGAGATCATGAGAGGAGGAGGGAGGACGGGGGGGGGGACAGAAGAGCACAGAGGAGGACCGAGGAGGACAGAGGAGGACAGAGGACGGAGGAGGAGGACAGAGGCGGAATGGGGAGGAGGAGGACAGAGGCGGAATGGGGAGGAGGAGGACAGAGGAGGACCGAGGAGGAGGAAGGAGGAAGGACAGAAGAGCACAGAGGAGGATGAAGGAGGACCGAGGAGGAGAAATGATGCCAGAGGAGGAGGGAGGGGGAAGGACAGAAGAGCACAGAGGAGGACCGAGGAGGACAGAAGAGGAATGGGGAGGAGGAGGAGGAGGAGGAGGGAGGAGGAGGGTGGAGGGAGGAGGAGGGAGCTGCCGCTCCTCTCTTGTGTAACAAACATTTGACGGAAGGCATAAATTAACCTTTGAGTTGTTTGCTTGATTACAAAAGGCTTTTTTTAGTGAAATGTCACAAAGTCATCTGGAGTCAAACGTTTCATGGTGTTATTTTCTTGTGACGTACGTGGACGTTACAAAGGATTATCATAAACAAGTGAACGGATGTTGGCATTTTAGCTCATTCAAAGGTAAACTCCTGATTATTTCATCACATATCAGAAATAGACTACAAATGAATATCGTGTGAGTTTATTTTTGTAAGAAGAACCGTTTTCCCTTTAAAGCGCATGTTAAGACCTCAGACTTCATTGGCTGATTTCCGAGCGGTTTGTGAGACGCGTCCTTTGGCTTTTTGCATTTGCTTGTTTCTTTTTACCACTTTTAAATGATCAATGTTTCGTAAATCTGGACGCTGGTTTGCGTGTCACGTCCCACCGGGAGGTCACCTACCTGACCCGCTTCCCGATCAGAGACTCCAGGTACCTGCGCGCGGACAGCTGCCCGAGCAGCTTACTGTAGCCGCTGGTGAACAGCCCGTCCGCGTGCCGGGGGGGCCTGCGCCAACAAGACAATTACCAGTGAGACAAAGAATAACCAGTAACCAGTGAGACAAAGAATAACCAGTAGCCACAGTAAGAAAGAGAATAGAGCCCGGGGACCGAGCCTCACCGCATGGAGGTGTAAGGCAGACTCAGAGTCCGGGAGTACAGCGCGCTGCACAGGGCGATGAGGAAGAGCAGCTGGGGGCCGGTTCGTTGTAACATGGCTTTACACCTGAGGACGGAAACGAGCAGTGAGGACGGAAGTCACGGACAGGAGCCGCTGGGACCACTGATCTGTCTGAGGGGAGCACAAGAGATCGTGCGTAATTACGCACGGATGGCGAGGACAGAGCGCGCTCCCTCCGGAGACGAGCTAAATAGGTGTAACGTCTTCTTCCACAAGCAACTAAGTATTTCCATTTGCTCCATAAAATAATCAGAATACATGTAAATGTATAAAAATAAAACAACCTTAAACTATAAAAGATTATTGACGTGTTCCAACTGTGTTCTTAGGATACAAACTAATTTCATCCATCGCTATTAATAAAACCCCAAAAAGAATATCATAAATCCCAAATAGCAGAAATCCCAGTTGGAAATATCTTATTTTCTTTTTCGGTTTTGCAGAGGAAAGAAAATGAACTTTAATGCGTAAATGCGCACAAACACAAAATAAACGTAACGGGTATAAAAAGCTTCACCCGTCGGAGGGAAACAGAACCTTACATGAGGTCTGGAGAAGGCGCTCTGCTCGCTGTCCGAGGTCCTGGTCTCTGGTGGTCTTTATCTCCACTGGCTTCGTGTCCTCCTCTGTTCGCTGTGCGCGCGGCTCCCGTTTTATACACCTGGACGCTTCTCACGGAGCACGAGGCGGCTTCAGATTCGACCAGGGCTCGAGACGTCAGCAGGTCACTGCCTCCGTCACTCCCGGTCGGAAACAAACTGGCCTCCGGGGAGATTATACCTCTAATGAAGACCCCAAAAAGAATTCTTCTAATGAAGATTCTCGGATCCACCCATCTGATGTTACAGGTGCAGATCATCTGTTGTGAGATTATTCAACCAGGTTCTACAATAATTCAGATACTCCTCATCACGAACACGATGCTTTCCACCTCCTCAAAGGCCAGAAGTAAAACCCGAAGACCGTTTACTTCTCTTCAGTCGGTATCAATGGTGCGAATAATTGATACATTTGCAAATATCTGTAAAATGTGAAGGAAATGTCCCAAAACTCCACCCGAGTGAGCTGTAACAAAGAAGCGACACGTGGAGGCCAGTTTACACCTGTCATCTCACAACAAAGGTCACGAGAGGTCGACCTCAGCGCCGAATTCTTCACATTGAAACACGTTACTGAAGGAGTGAGATTTGTCTCACGTAAGATTTTGAGCTCATCTTCTTATGATACAAATACTGTTAAATAGTACTGCACCCGTCGTTGTTTACATCCACCTCAGGGTGCAGAATACGAACACCAGCATGTAGTTTACTGTTACCATGGTAACAGCTCACAGGATGCAAGCAAATGGGATCTGACCTCTCCGGAGAGTCGGACTCGTCCCTCATCGGACCAGTTAAGAGTTGTCATCCATCCATCATCCATCATCTGTTATCCATCATCCATCCGCCCGTCCATTCCTCCACACTGTAAGAAAATCCTAATTTTACAAAAAATAACTCACTTTTTACAGTGGTTTTGATGTTTTACAGACATTATCTCTTAATTAACAACCCAACTGTTAATTTAAGTATTATCGTAATTTCATTTTTTCTCATTTTTACACAGAATAATTAGTGTCATTTATAGAGTACGTTTACTGCTTTCTTAAATGACATACAAATTGTGAAATATCAATAATTATCGGTAAAGAAATATCTAGCTCGTTATATAAAGGTTTATGGCAATATGAACATTTTCTTTGTAGTTTGAAGGTATGTCACAAACTCTGTAATTATGGATCTGAATTTATCTAACTGTCATTATATCAATCATTCCACAGCGGGGGGGCAAAGTCATTTCAGGTTTGGGTCAGATTCCCACTTCGTTCCAATGCGGCCCAGACCATTGAAAGGGTCAAAATCACAGGGAGAGGCGGCGCTGACGATACGGTGCAGAACGAATCGGTATTAAAAAAAGACGTGTCCAGCCTCTCGTCCCGCATCCCTCGCCATGGAAAAGTCCTCCGGCGTCCGCGAGTTTGACATATATGTTCTACTGAGTACAAAGCTGCACTGCTCCTGATGGTGACCCTTCCAGGCATGTTGTGCCTCTCCAGACCCAATCAGTGACGTCACGCTGAGCAAGAGCACATGACATGAATCTGACCAAAGTCAATTGAGCAAAGGCAAAGTCAGGAAAATAATGCATTGAATAGTCAAAGTTTCGTGGTCCTCAACCACCGGCACCGATACCGGTCCTTGGGCCATTTAGTACCGGGCCGCATTCATTTCATTTTTCACTTATTTTTCTCTTCTGAAAAATGTTTTATTTTGAAAAATGACCAGATTCTCTTCCAATTACATGCGATTGTCCCTCTTGACACATTTCCCAAGTGACACCCAAGGTTTTCTTTACATTCACAGGTGTCCACTTGTCCTCGCGCGGTTCTGTCCACCAGCGGACAGAGAGTTTGTGACGACACCCCCACCCTGTTGGCCGCTCCATCCGCAGACACACCTCCCCCTCTGCCCCGTCTGCGGGTTATTTCGTCATGTTTATCCGCCGCACCTCCAAGACCGGCCCGCTAGTAATCCATCATCATCCAACTACCTATCATCTGTCCACCATTCATCCATCTCTCATCATCCAACCATCCATCCACCCATCTATCATCCATCTATTAAACATCCATCATCTGTCATCAATCCATCCATCCACTCCATCTTTCATCCATCTATTAAACATCCATCATCTGTCATCAATCCATCCATCCACTCCATCTTTCATCCATCTATCCACCATCTATCATATATCTTCTGTTATCCAACCATCATCATCATCATCATCATCATCATAACCATCCACCCTTGTATGGCCTCAACCCACAATTCATCAGAGCCACCCGATGGAGATGCACCTTCTGTCAGGGTTGGGTGGCAGAAGTAGGACCCAATCGCAGACCTCTTGTCTTGAAACTCGTAAAAACTTCATCCGAAGGGAAACAAAACAGGTTCCTTGGGAGCAACGAGCACAAGGCCGTAACCTCTGCGCCCCCCAGTGAGGGTCACGGGAAAACACAGGAGACGCCAGCTGAAAAACGGCGACGACGCAGACCAACCCACCAGGACATAAGGGACACAGAGTAAATACAAGGTGGAGGTGAGGCTCAGGGACACAGAGGCAATCGGAGGGGGGAAACACACCAGGGCAGGAAGTGCAGTCACACGGGAGGCGGGGAGATACAAAATAAAACAGGAAGTGAACCCGCCCCGCGACTCCTCCATGTTTCATACTAGAGACTCATTACTTACGTTCATGCTGACTATGTAGGCGACGATGATCACACAACTGATTCATCATTACATCACAACCATTGCGCCTCCTCCTCCTCCTCCTCCTCCTCCTCCTTATTTCCTCCCCCTCTTCTTCCTCCTCCTCTACATTCTCTTCCTCCTCGTCCTCTCCAGGCCGGCACCATCTGAACCCTTAATGCGATCAGTCCAGAGAGAAGTGGATTAGGTGGAGGTCCGGCGGGAGGAGGAGCGGCTCTAATTGACAGCAGTGATAGGACACAGGTCTCTGCAGGAGGAGGAAGCTGACGGAGGAAACATCAGCGCTATTAGGTTGATGGAATGTTTGGAGGGAGACGTTCCTGTGGACGAGGAGCAGACCCCCCCCCCCTCGGCACGCAGGACCACCCAAAGGAGGACAGTTATGAGATCATTCCTCCTCCTGCTGATGCACGTGTTCACCAGCTGCTCTGTAGCCGAGTACATTTACTCAGCTGCTGTAGTAAAACGGGTACTTTACTGGAGTACTTTCTGCCGCTCCTCTGCTACATCTCTACTTTTTACTGTACTACATCTCATAGTATAGAGTATATAGTAGAGTACATATTGTGAAACTATACAGGGATGAAATAAAGGAAGCAGACTTGCTGTAGTGATTTTATTTCCTTTCTATAGTCTGTGGTCGGTGGTCTCAGGTCTATGATCTTTAATCTATGGTTGGTGGTCTCTGGTGAAGGTCTCCGGTAAAGGTCTCCAGAGGAGTGAGGTCAGCAGCGTGATGAGGGGAATCTCCCTGAGTGCCCCCCCACCCCCCCATTATCCAATTATAAGAGCCACTCTGATGACAAATGTCTGAAACACAGTTAGTTCCCTCCTCCTCCCTCTGTACGTCTCTACACGAAGTGATGGACACAGTCGATAGTACATATATTTTCAAAAGGGAGTAAACAAAGGGAACAGACTTCTATTTTATTTCCTGTGTCTGATCTCTGGTCTCTGGTCTCTGGTCTGTGGTCTCTGGTTTATGGTATATTGTCTCTGCTGTGTGCTCTGTGGTCTCTGGTTTATGGTCTGTGGTCTCTAGTTTATGTTCTGTGGTCTGTGGTCTGTGGTCTCTGGTCTCTGGTTTATGGTATATTGTCTCTGCTGTGTGCTCTGTGGTCTCTGGTCTCTGGTCTCTGGTCACTGGTCTATGGTCTATGGTCTATGGTCTGTGGTCTGTGGTCTCTGGTCTGTGGTCTCTGGTTTATGGTATATTGTCTCTGCTGTGTGCTCTGTGGTCTCTGGTTTATGGTCTGTGGTCTCTAGTTTATGTTCTGTGGTCTGTGGTCTGTGGTCTCTGGTCTCTGGTTTATGGTATATTGTCTCTGCTGTGTGCTCTGTGGTCTCTGGTCTCTGGTCTCTGGTCACTGGTCTATGGTCTATGGTCTATGGTCTGTGGTATGTCGTCTTTGCTGTGTGGTCTGAGGTCTTCATCACCGCAAAGCAGTCACAGGTGCCGGTGCTGGACCGGCCTCCCACGTGGGCCCGTGGACCAGGGGGGGTGGGGGGGGTTCCCTGTTGATGGATGGCCTTCCACTTTTGGAGGAGATGACTCTGATGGATGAGGGCTGAACCTGGTCCACAACAGGGAGCCGCTGTAACAATGTTGGGCCCGGACCCCCCAGACCTGAAAGACCTCCTGGGTGGATCCCAAACCTGTAGAAATGAAATATGAGTTATAGTGCATTGTTTTCTGTAGCTGTACAAAGAGCGTATGACAACCTTTAACTACCTCGCACACGCACACGCACACGCTCCCTGGAGGTCTCTTAATGGACGCCTTGTTGCTGGTGGGCCTCCTGTAAGGATCAATTAGTCCAGCAGAGCTCTTCATCACATCCTGAATGAACTAAATTCATAAATACGTTCGGCCTGCTTTCGGCCTCATGCCAGACATTACAGCAGGGCCATCTAGAGGCTTTAATTACCGATACACACACACACACAACGCCGTCATTAGATGTCATTAACCCTACCCACAATGCCCTCTGGCTCTCATCTATCTATCTATCTATCTATCATATATCTATCTATCTATCTATCATATATCTATCTATCTATCTATCATATATCTATCTATCTATCTATCTATCTATCTATCTATCTATCATCTATCTATCTATCTATCTATCATATATCTATCTATCCATCTATCTATCTATCTATCTATCTATCTATCTATCTATCTATCTATCTATCTATCATATATCTATCTATCTATCTATCTATCTATCATATATCTATCTATCTATCTATCTATCATATATCTATCTATCTATCATATATCTATCATATATCTATCTATCTATCATATATCTATCATATATCTATCATAT